CCCCCCCCCCCCCCCCCAACACCAAAAGCCTCAACGCCCAAGCCTCAAATCTCAAGCCACAATCTCAACCTCTCTCTCTCTCTGCATCGTGTAAGTGAAGCCGCAAGTGACCCCTCAACCAAGCACGCACCCTGGCCTCAATCCTTAACAAGCCAAACACAAACAACAGGCTTCCCCCCAGGAACCCCACTCCGTTCCCCATCCCACCCAACCTCCTTGACACTCTTCTTCATCATCTCCTTATCGTCCCCCGAAAAGCACAACCCCTTATACCACCGCCCGTTCCCGGCCTGCACAATCTCAAAGCACTTATTCTTCTTCGGATTCGGGTTCGTCGCCCCGAAGCCCTTGAGCACCTCCGCCAGCGTCGTGTTCACGGGGACATGGAACGCGGAGAACTGGATCCGCGCGTTGAGAGGGAGCTGCCACGGCGGTGTCGAGGTCCGGAAAACGTGGATTTTTGTGTGGGCAGCGGGGAAGAAGTAGTTGTAGCCTGGTTCGCAGCCCGTTCCGCCTGTTGAGTTGGAGAGGTGCGCTGCTGGGTTGCGCGGGTCAAGGGTTGGGAGGGTGGTTGCTGTGCGGGGGGTGTAGGTTGCTTGGCCGCCTGGTTGGAGGGGGTATGTTCCCGGTTGGGGGTAGTAGCTTCCTTGTTGCTGGATGCCGCTTCCGGGCCAGGCGTAGGCTGCTGAACCCGGGTAGGGCTGGTAGCTTGTGGTTGCCGGGTAGTAGTAGGTTCCGTAGGGTGCCGGTGCCGGTGTGCCGTAGCCGGTGTGCGGGATGTAGGGCTCGCCCCAGCGCGGGAGGAGCATGCCTTGGGGGCCCCACGGAGGCCGGCGGCCTTCCATGTCTGGGCCGTTGACGGGGTTAGACATTGTTGTGATGATGTGTGGGTGGATCAAGGTAGGACCAGATGTGGTGGTTGTGGTTTGGCTGCCAGGTATTCACCCAGTTTCCGAGCTCGGGGTTGAATTCCGTGACCCAAGTGCCGGGGACGGGGCCTGCGTGCGACGGGTTCCAGAGGTAGTGCGGGTTTCCTTGGTATCCGTACGCCGGGATGTGTGCTGGTGGATGGTATGCGCTGTTGGTCTGAGCGAGGTTAAGGCTGCGCGAAAACCTGTCGTTCAAGTCTTGGCTAGTATTTGAATCTGCAGATGACAATTACCAAAAGGTCAGCCAAGATGGGAAACATGGACGGTTATTATATATCCTTCCCAGACTTCTCGAATCATGGGTTGACTGGCAGTGAATAACCGCCACGCATGAAGACAGTACACAGTGACTCACCCGAATCCGACTGCTCGACAAACTGCCCCTCGTCGTCGTCGTCGTCGTTGTCGTCGTGTCTGCGATCACCGCGAGTGTCACGCTGAAAGGCAAAGATCTCGGTGCTCCAGACAATGTTGTTGTGCTGGTCGTAAAAAGTGCCGACGATGAGGTAGCCCCAAAACGGCGGGTCGCGCGAGCAGTGCCAGTACTGCGCGACGATGAGCTTGATTACTGGGTAGGGTAGGTACTCTGGTTCCTCCTCCTCGACGGGAGACTGATGAGACGCCACGGTGACTGCTAACTAGGAGGCTTGTGTATAATTGAGAAGGCGAGGTTGAGTGCTTGAGTTTCGGGTATCCAAGGTGTGTTGAGCTTGAGGGCTGTGTGTAGAAGAATGCAAATGTTGACGAGGGAGAGTTTGGCCAGTCAATTTGGTCTAGATTTATATGGAATTCAGCAATAGTGTGGATCAGTGACTTGAAGCTTGCGAGAGTTGGGACCAAACTATGTGAAAAGCCATTGTCAATGTCTAATCAGACGACGATCCGTGACTTGGTGGTGATGCGCGGCAAACAAACTTGATAGTCCCCTTTTGAGTCTATCAGCTTTCGGATGACCATGCTGGGTGCAAGCACACGGCAGTGAAGTGAATCATTGCCACAGCGCGATGTTAGCAGTGACATGATGAAGGCAACCGCAAATTTCTGCATCAATTTTGATATCGAGGTAGTCACATGAATATGAAGGGGAAACTGCAAAGTCGCAAGTGATGATGATTTCAGTGTTATTCGATTGGTTGATTATGTGCCACAAGGTTCCCAACTGCTTGTGGCGCTCGTCCTTCAATTGTGGCTGACTGTGGCGGATGGTGGCTGAAGCTTGGTCCGTAATGCACTTATGTAAGCAGAACAAACTGGAGCACCTTTGACCCTCATTCTGGCTTGCTCCTCTGCTTCGCAAGCTTATGTTCAAAAGCCCAAAGGAAGCCAAAGTATGGGCGCAGTCGACGAGAGATGAACCACTATCTTGACCACGATCGAGATCCTGACTTCTGTGGCTGGCCATCGAACAACGTGCCAACCGATCATGGTCGGCGAAAATCAAGCTGACTGTCGGGTCGACACTAAATCATTTCGCTAGGCCCTCGTAATTTGGTGACCACGGCCGCCGCATCGTGAGCGAGGCTGAGGATGCTGATGAATGTGACCTCTCCTCGAACCAGAGGAGAAGGTCCGCAATGTTATTGTTGTTGCGGGAAGGTATCGCGTAGCTTCCGTGCGGGTGGTATCGTAGTGAAGAGGTTTGGCGTTGCATGGCGCCGTGGATGGCCTATTTGCCGTTCTCAAAACCTCTGGGCTGCGACATGCCCGTCACTCAAGAGTCCCGTCGGCTAAGCCCATCTCGATGGAGGAGCCCGCAGACTGCCATGAGCTGTTGCGAGTCGGAAAAGTTGAAATGTCCAAATCGTAAACCGCCTCAGTCCTCAACGTCGACATCCTCCTCAACAACCCGCACGGCACCGCCCTTGATGCTAGCCACCCCCTTGACAGAGTTCTTGAGCTGCTCAACCTCCTGCCTCACCATCTTGCGCCGCTCCACCTCGGTCACGAGCCCCTTGAGATACACCTCGGCCTGCACGGTAGCGCTGTACGACATGGCCGTCCAGCTCCAGACATTCCTCCTCTCGGCGTCGGCGCCAGCGGCAAGCAGCGTCCTCAGCACGAGCAAGTTCCCATTACTGCTCGCGAAATGCAGCGCCGTGTTGCCGTCCAGGTCCGCCCTCTGCACGGCGGCACGCGCGCCCTCGGGAACGTACGTCAGCAGGATCTGCAGGACGGTGTCGTGGCCGCCGCGGCTCGCTTCCATGATGGCGTCGCGCCAGCGTATGTCGCGACGGAGGATGACGTGCGGGGTTCGTTCGCAGAGGAAGTGGACGACCTCGGTGTGGCCCGCGGCGGCGGCGAGCATTAGGGCTGTTTGGTGATGCTCGTTGAGGGCCGGGTCGGGGTGTTCGTGGCCATGGTCGACGAGGACTTTGGCAATGGGGAGGTGGCCTAGGGAGGCGGCGAGGTGGAGGTTCGAGTTGGAGAGGGCTTCGGGGGAGGGGTCTGGGTTGTGGAGGAGGCGAGGGTGGGATTTGAGGATTCGTTTTACGAGGAGAGGGTCGTTTGCTGTGATGGCGCGTCGGACGCGGAGAGATGGTTCGATCCTGGAGGCGGAAGAGGTTAGCTGGATATGTTCTCGCGTAGCTGTAGGGAAGGAAGAGAGTGTGGAGAGAGCCTACATGATGAGCTTGGATGCGGTTGGTCGGGATGGATCTAGCGAGTGTGGTTTGGTCGAGCAAATGAAGAGGTCGACGACAGCATAACTGATGTTGATGTTGTTTGCTGCTATTGCTACCGTGGCTCCAAAAAAAAGAGAGGCGATCGGTGTGGTGATGGTTGGAGGTGACGTGACGGAGATGGGAAAATGGGTGGCAGGTGAACGAACGGGAAGAAAGGTGAGTTGGGACGAGATTGCCAATAGGGGGCGGCTGATGACAGGCCACTGCCCGGATTTAGTGCACGGCGCCTGGAAGGTCCCTGTCGTGAGCTCGAGAACAAGCAGGACGACAGGGGTGCTCCAGGGGCGGGGAAGCAGTGGAAGTACCTGACAAGTACCTCCTCACGCTCCTTAGACGACACGCCTACGCCCGTGGACCCCGGGGAAGCACCGGCGGGGAAAAGGCGGGGCAGCCAGCGCCACTGCCGCTGCCGACGGCATTACCTTGATTTTCTCTCCGGTCTTTCGGCTTCCGCTTGTATCAATCTCCTCACTTCACACTCACTAAGGTATCACAAGTTCGAGCACCTTTTTTGTCATTTTTCATCATGAGAAAGTTGCTAGGGCAAGGAAAAAGTTTGGCATTTGCAATTGAGTTTGGGCACTTTGACCTGCGCGCATGATTCAACGCGTCTGATGTTGATGATCTGATATATCCTGGGATCCCGTCTGTGTGTGCAGCCAACTAACATCTACCTTAGGCACCATGCTGACCTCTCACATGAATGTAACTTAGTAATGTTTGGTATCTCAAGACAGGAAGGTAGAACAATCAGCTAATACTCAAGACTCATTTGACTGATTCTGATAAATAGAATATCTGTTCTAAAACTCTACCCTCCAACGCCGAGCAGTATGCATCCATCCCTCATTTAGGCTCTAAGCAACATACGGCTTTCCAAAGGGGTGCAAATCCAACCCCTCAATATCAATATACCCAAACTTGCTCCCATCCTCATTCTTCCCCATCGCCTCCGCCCACGTTCCCAGTGACTTCATAAACACATCCTTGTACTTCTCCTTGCTCACATCCAACGGCTCCTGATCCCGTCCGATGAGCCTCATCTGCGTGCCGGCCAACATATTCGTCAGTCCGAAATCCTGCTCGCCCAACAACGTCTCAATCGCAGCCGACGCCTCGCCCGCAATGATCTTGCGCGGCAGATCAACCTCGTTACACGCGGGCCTCGCCAGCCCGATCCCGTGCACCGTCTTCAGCGCCTCTACCATGGCAGGCACAGTCCTCAGCCCACCGGTGACGTACGCTTTCGTCTTGGTGAGCTGCGGGATAATCTTCTCGGCGAAATCCAAGAAGAAGGCTTCACGCTTCTTTGTGGATTCGCGCTTGTGCTCGAAGGCGAGGGACTGGTATGTTCCTCCCGAAAGCTCGACGAAATCGAAGGAGGCGTCCTCGAGCGCGGAGCAGAGGTCGCGGCAGTCTTCGGTCGAGAAGCCCTCGTCTTGGAACTCGACGCTGTTGACTTTGATGCCGATGCTGAAGGACGGGTCGGGGACGCGGGCGCGGATGGCATCGGCGATTTCGAGAATGATGCGCGCGCGGTTGGTTAGGGAGCCGCCATACTGGTCGGTGCGCTTGTTTGTTGTCGGCGAGAGGAATTGCGCGAGGAGGTAGCCGCTAAGAACATGCAAATGTCAGTGATTGATCACAGAGTATGATGGAGAGGGGAAAAGGGGGGGGGGGGGGACTCACTGTGCACCATGAAGCTCAACTCCATCAAAGCCAGCCTTGTACACATACTCAGCCGCATGCGCAAACCCACCAATCACCTTTTCAAAGTCCTCCTTCTCCATCGCCCTCGGCTTCGCGAACCTCATACCCATGACATCACCCTCGAGCTGCACATCGCTCGCCGAGATGGGGTGCGGGTTGATCTTCTGCTCGACCTGTCTGCCGGGGTGACTAAGCTGCGCGTGCAGTAAGCTCCCATGCGCCTTGGCCCCCTCGGCAAGCTTGCGGAACCCCTCGAAGCGCTCGCCCTCAAAGGGGGCGTCGAGCGGGATAATCGGGTTGCCGGCGGCCTCGAGCTGGTCGTAGTCGATCATGACGTTGCCGGAGAGAAGGACGCCAAAGTCGCCCTCGCCCCAGCGGCGGTAGAGGTTGATGAGTTCCGGGGTGGGGATGCCGCGGTTGGACGGGGTTTTGGGATCCCAGGTCGAGAGGCGCTCCGTCATTGCGCCCTTGAGGAAGCGATTCTTTGCGACTTTGCCTGAGAAGGCGAACTTGAGGGGTTCGGCGAGGGGTTTGGGGTCCACGGCCTCGGCGGCGTATCTTGCGGGTGCCATCTTGGATGATTTGTGCGTCTGTGTGGTGATGTAGTTGGAGAATTTGGTCGTAAAAGTCTACTGCTGGAGGGATGAACGTGTCCGTGGGTGACTATGTCCTGGATGATCTATGTCTTAAAGTATATTAAGACTCATAAAGCATGGCAAGGTATGGAGGGATGAGGGTTTTTGTAAAGTCTCATTAACCTGCATGTCCACTTCTTCCTACACCTTGTCTTGTTTATTCAGCTTTCTGGTTCGCAGCAGCGGAGCCCCAAACCTGACGTCCACCGCTCTGAAACACTTTTGCTTTGTAATTAAATCTGGTTTTCTCCCCGCCACGCCACCTCATAGACCGATGAACCACCTTGTGCTCCACTCGGCATTCGGAATCTTGCCTATACTACGTAGATGCCCCTAGTCCATCCAGGTCTTTGAAGAATTCGACCTAGAAGAGCCTACGTTTCTCTACGAGAGTCTACGAGGATTCGACATCTGCATGCCGAATGCAATTACCGACCAAAACACCCAATCAAATCCTGCTCACCACCTAGGTCCATGAATCTGGCCATGAATCCAACAGCAAGCTTCCTCTCTTCCTTTGTCAAAAACTTCATGTCCTCGGCTCGGCCCCTCCATCTCGGCCATCAATCCGTTCAAAATTGCCCCTCAATCGACGGCCCCAAAAAATGGCACTAGGGGTCGTGTGCGTCATGGTGGGGAGCTGCCGCAGGGGTCTCCCGCGTCATGAATGGGTCCATTGCCGTGAATTTCGGGAGGCTAACACGCCAGCATATGCACGCAGCAGCCAGAGATGTGTCTGCGCACCTCAGTCTACTGTACAGCGCGATTTGTGCCGTTCCGAGAAACCTTGGTGCTCCTTTCGAATCCTTCTAGGCTCCTGTTCGTAAGGTCTTGGTAAACATGACCCATCCGGCGTGCGCCCCCATTCCGCCAAGCTTTGCGCCAGATTTCTAACCCGACGACGGGGGAAAGGCGGGGGTTGAATATCCAAATTCTCCACGGAGTTTGTCGGATCGGGGGAACTTCTCCTCCAGCTGTACCCCCGCTGAGTCATCTGGTTTGCTGAATCAGGTTGCTGAATCAGGCGTCACCTCCACGGCGTTTGAGATGGGACGATTTCTTTGAAGATTTGGCCTCACTTGGTGAAGTCGAATGACCTCATTGGTCTAGAACATACGATCTGGCAGAGCTTACTTAGCTGTCTAGGGCGTTACTCCCTGGGGCGTAACAGTTCTTGGCGATTTTCATGGTGTTTGGATCTCAAATGCCGTCGCTCTCGTTCTCGTTCTCGCTTACCTAAGATAAGTAGAGGAGTGGTATGAGTTCCGCGCGTCGTCGTCTCAACTATTGACTTTTAGAGAACATACCGTGTCTGCATTTCGGCCCGGCCCGTTCACTCCTGTCTGGATTCCTGTCTTAAGAGCCGTCATTCAACATAAGAGAAACCACCTTTTGTGAAGGAAAAAAGATTCTTCATCCCACCCATATACTCAATCCCCGTTCTTCGGCATATTATAACGTTATACCTCCACATTGCGAGGCCCGGAGCACAGCCAGTGGGCGATATAACCAAAAATGACCCTATCGTGAGTCTCCCCGGCGCCAGATCCAAAAGAATTGCGTCGAGGGGGAATCGAACCCCCGGCTCCCCGACGCTGCTTGATGGCAACGGAGAATTTTACCACTAAACCATCGACGCTGACGGTGATTGGATCTCGTTGTGAGGTCCTGGATCCGCTGGTGCTCAAGGAAGGCTGGTGGTGATGTGGTTGGCCACGATGTGGTTGAGCTAGCGAGTGGATGGTGCCTTGATGGAGAGGACAGTGGAGCTCCTTGCAATTGCCAAGGAACATTCTCTCCTCTGTGAACTCCATAACTAGATTGTCAATATCGGAAAATTTCCCATTATTAGGTGACATTGATTTGTATTGCTTTGCTTTTCCTGGAAAATGGAAGGTGGTGTCGTGGCTCGTAAATGAGAATTACAGCCCCGAACGCGCGGTCCACACCTTAATTTCAACTACAGAGCTGACGTAATGTAGTCGTCTGGGTCTTGGAAGCTGAAGATGATGACATGGCTGGGAAGGATATGGACAGGACGTTACCTACTTAGCCACATGTGAACATGCAATCCTCAATTTTTGATTCTAAAACTGAAGCCCTAGATTAAAGTACTACCAGGCTCGAAGTAGGAGAGTTCCAGTAACGTAAATCCTGTGCATACGTATTTACTAGCCAGTATTGACAAATGTGTAGTTCAGTTGACAAGTGTGCTGTTAGCCATTTGCACCCGTGTAGCGAGCCAACTCTTCATCCGTTTTGCCCTCATCATGAGCCAGCATCTCACATGATTGTCAGTTGAATATGGAACCACCGAACTGAGGAAATATCTAAAACCTCTCGTGGTGTCGTTCCCCCAATTTAGGTACGCAATACTTGAAGTTATACAAATAGCTCAGCTAACTCGTGAGTTTCTAATGTCCTTGAAGCTGTCAACTAATTCCGAAAACCGGAAATCCAAGCCAGAAACGGTCGAATTATCGATATGAAACTCTCTATCTAGTGTTTTTTTGAGTCCAAGAGTTCTTGAAACCAGTCAAAAATCACCTGATTGTGCTGCTTGAATGCCCCAATCCCACAATGCTCGCCAATCCCATCCTCCTCCGTAAAGTGATATAAATAAGCCCACTGCCCCAACGCCTCCGCAAGAACAGCAGCCTGGCCCTTGAAGAACAAGTCATTTTGCGCATCGCCCACAAAGACAGGCGTTCGTATCTCACCCACCACGGGCTCCATGCGATAATCCAGCGACAACGTAACAAAGTCGTACGCGGACGCGGTGTTGAACGCCCACATCCCGTGCCCGAGACCCCAGCGCAGCGTCGCGGGTACCCCGGGCTGTAGGAACCGCTTTACGTACTCGTCAAAGGCCGCCTTGTCGCCCGAGTCGTAAATGGCCATGGCTTCGGCGCCGAGGGTAGCGTTCACGACGACTGGCCAGTCCCAGACGCCGTCGACGGCGAAGATTGCGGCGAGGCGGTGTTCAAAGGCGGCGGCGCGCGGGGCGAGGTAGCCACCAAAGGAGAAGCCAAGGAGGCCGATCGAGGCCGGATCGACTACCTCGGGTTTTTCGAGGAGCCAGTCTACAATGGGGGTGATTACTCTCTCCCAATCGTAGATGAAGCCGACTTCCTGGTATCGACGAACGGAAGGCATGCCGGGTCCCTCGTAGGTGAGGACATTGTACCCCCTCTCGAGAGCAGCGGCGCCCATGGCGTGGTACATCTCCTCCTGAGACCCATCATACCCGTTCCCCATAATGATCGTCGGGCGCTGCGTTTCGTCCTCATCGGGAGTGAACCAGATACCCGGGATATCAAAGTCGGGTGTCTCAATCGTCACACGCTGATTTGGCACCGTCAACAACGCGAGGCCTTCATCGAACGCGGCAGTCTGATTGCCCCACAGCTCGTAGATGCGGGGATCCGACGCGTTCTCGTGGAGGTAAAAGTCGGCGCTGCGAAAATACGTCGCCGCGGCGAAGAAGGCGCTGCGCGCCGAGACGGGGAACTTGGTCTTTGCGATGCTCTTTGCGCGGTCGAGGACGCTGTAGGCGAGGGTGGAGAAGGAGGTGGCGTAGCTGGCGAAGTCGCCGGGGATGATTTTGTTGGCGGTGGTGAGGACTTCGCCGAGGTCGGCGCCTTCGTAGACGGATTGGCTGAGGGCACGGAGGATTTCAAAGTGGAATGTGTGGTCGGCGCTGAGCTGGTACATGGAGTAGTTTGTGCTTGCCATGATGGGTGGTTTGTCGCGGCGGACCTTGATTGACAGTGTTCTTGAAGCGATTGAGCTTCACAGCATGTAATACATGGTGTGCCGATGCTGTCGGGCTCAGCTAATGATTTATATATACTAACCCCGCAGTTGTCAGCAAATGTGAAGAGTAAGTACAGCTAGGTGGGGGGTGGATCCTTTCAAAAGTGCAGCTATCCATCAACTTGGCTGTTTGCGAGGCTGACGGAAATGTAACATCAACAGAGACACAGTCAGTAATATCTGACAGCAGCCGCCCGTTGGTAGTGTATCACATCAAGACTGCAGGAAGCAACGTCAATCTAGACGAATTGGTCAATAGGATTAGCTACCCGAATGCAAGCGAGTGGCGGGTGCTCCCGGAGGATCAAGCATCGAGAGGGGGAACGCTTGGCGTAAGCATTGCGTCGTCAGTCAGCAATATCACAGGTGCTGGCCTGGTCAACTCCGCTTAAGGCATTGTCGATTCGCTCCCGATGACCAGCATAGCAATTCTAAGCCATCGAACTACCAAAAAGTGATACATCACCAGAATCTCCGTTGGGGCTAGTTGGGGGCAGGTGTAATTTGCCATCTTGGACTCCTACGGATGAGGCTTTTCCGATCGACATGAATGTACCTGAATACGCCTGAGAGAAGTATGCCTATTTCGGACTCTACATTTCAATTTCAGCCCCTCCTGTGACTGCTTCAGACTCTCATTATCAATGTGTAACATTTCCTGATTGTGCATATAGAATCTGGGGCATCTCCTAACAGAAGTCAAGCTATAAACAAAAAGGACGCAAGTGAACCACATGCTAGATAATCTGAAGGAGAACAGAGGCCGAATCATTGCGTTTCGAAAGCTTGTCCTGAAAGCCTCGCTTCCTCAATCCCGGCCAAACACTATACTAAGGAAACAGTACTATTAAAGTAGCCAATGAAAGCGGAAGGACTTACTTCGGTAACGGCCAAGAACGCGATAGAATTTCGGGGTGGCTCAAGAAAGTCAGGGTTAGGGTCAGGGTCATTGGAAATTGAATCTTAAGGCCCACGGGAATAGTCTGGGGAAAGTCCACTAGTCACACTATGAAGCTCGCAAGACAGCACGTTTACCACATCTAGACTAGTCACTGGGAAAGTCCGGCCTGGAATTCAGAAGCAGAACATAAGGTTTTCTGACGGCGAGCTTGGCAAGAACCTGAGCCTGTCATCAAAAGGACTCTGGAAGCTTGGTGGCAACCACGAATGATTGTTTGAGGCAGCACCGTCCAGACAAAGATGTTCGGACGGGAGTACTGATTCAACCAATTAGAGAAGACAATGAGTCTCTTAATGAGGAAATTCTCAAGGCCGACACTGGAATGACCTTTTCGGACCGTCTGTTCGCGAACACGCGCCTGTGCCTCGCAACTCACGGACCGCCGGAATGACACATGCAGGAGAGAAGCCTAAATAGTCTCTAGATCAATCATTTATATTTCGGACCTAGTATCGTGAATCTCAGACTTGTGTCCGCTTCAAAGCAGACCAAGTATAATGAAGCGAGGATCAATTTCCAGACATAGGTAGTAGAAAACGGCTTGATTCCTCCATGAGGCGAAAAAGTTCCCATGTGTCGCCTGTGCTGAAGCTTCCGTGCTTTTTGTACTCTGGAATCCTGTATCTGTATGTAGGTAGTCTAGATTTGATTAGTCCAGGAGCCTGGCACATTGAATCTGTCACAATCAGCTTACTAGCTCTATGGCGGAAACTTGATGGGAATTATTATACTGACAGATGAGACGGAAGCTCTAGGTATAATACGGTGCATCAAGCTATAATCTCAAAGCCACTGCCAACTCTGTAACATATAACAAAGTACCGGTGGAACCAACTCTCCATCAGACGGTTACAGTACCACTAGTTGAGATAGATCAATTGGCCACTTTCTTTTTCGCAGAGATGAAGAAGCCGAACCGTTAAGTTTGCGTGTTATGAGTTGTTGGCTGAGCATACATGGCCCGCGAAGCCAGACTGGTCAACAACCTCAGCCGTTCCCATCATGACTGTCCTACGGACTGATGGGGATCTTTCTGGAGTGACGTAAGCTGAGGCACTCTGGCCTCAGCTTCCTGCATATTCGTACTAGGCACAACATAAATCTCAATACTACTAGACGGGTTGCTCCGGAAGTTTGTCGCATCTAAACTACCCGAAGATGATCAGGAGGGCAGCCGCATGATAGAGCTCTGTGTTAGTGCATTAGGGCACACCTTCCTTGGTAGACTCTAAAGGTAGTAAGACCAACCGCGCGGCACTTTGTTGACTTCTACTGGAGTTACTCTAGGGCCTTCACAGCTTCATTCCTTGAGGTGTGGAGATGTGGGATCCGCAAACAAGCTCAAAGTGGGAGCCGAATTCATATCCGAGCGCCTGGAGTTCGTGCCAAGACTTTGACTAGTGCCACACACCTTTGAGGCTTATTTACGCATACGAAGTTTCGAAGTAGGAGTTTTTGCCGCCGTTCCCTCTTACAGCGGAAGCTTCATGTCGGTAAACCCGAACAGATTGACAGTGGACTTGGGAAACCCATGTAGCTGAGTAGCGCGCTCAACAAAAACCCCCATTCACCACTATTTGACGGCTGTCGGCCTCCACCTGAGACAATGATCTTCCGGGTCCCACTCTCATCGGATATACCCAGGCGGTTCAGGGAGCGGGAACAAATTCTATTCAGTGGATACCATCTGGGGTCATTGCTTACTGGTTTAATTATACCTCATGGTTCGAGAATGGATCCATCATAAACACGAATAGTGGCGAACGATGCACTTTTCAATTATCAAAAGGCTCCACAGATGAGAAGAAGACCTATGACAAAAATCTTGAATAGCTCTGTGACAAGTACTATTGTACGATGGATAACATCAGGCAAAAACATTCCGCTCAAATTGATTACCCCTGCACTTCTTCACTTCTGATCTATGGGCTGCAAGGAACCTTCTTCTGTCCAAGTACCAGTCCATTATCTGCGCAGCCTTTTGATAAAGCCTGGAGCCTATCAAAGTCGGAGGAGCGAATACAACAAAACTAAGAGCCATACATCAGCGACCAAAAACTACGTTACCACTAGAGTGAGCACTTACGCCAGGGGAAGGGAGGACTGCGCCTTTTACTGCATTGCAGAAATTGTTGCTTGGGGCTGGTTTTCCCTCCACTGTCATGCAGTAGTACGTCCCGTATTCTCCAGTTCCCTGTCTGTGTGTCGCGCAAAACGAGTTAGCATGCGCATGTAGGATCCAACGGATCTAGAGCCTCGGAGATCTAGCCGAGTGGGGGAACACTTACCCGAAGACAGTAGCTGTGAGAAACAACAAGGCAGACATAAGGGTGGTTGAAGAACGCATTTTGTTTCTGATGTAAGTGGATGATTGAATAGTGCGTAAGGATATAATGTGCTTTTTCTGACAAGCTAAAAAGTTGAGTTTCAGAGCCAACAGTTGATCGTAATTAAGAAGGTCGGAAGTTGTTGACAAGTACATTCCACCAACATCAAGGAGTCTCTCAAGCCGTTTTTATATGCCAAACCCCAGATGAGTAAATCGTGTTCACTTTAACCCTGGAAACATTTTTTGACGAGTATCGCGCGACTGTTTGAGTCCAGGTTCGATCTGCCCATCCATACCGCCCCGTAGAGCCCCTGAAGACAGGGGCGACGGGGGAGGAGAGTCACGAACTTCTCGGCCGATTCAGAACGGGGCTGTCTAGGAGGGAGACGCAAGGTCTAGAAGGTGAGCCCGATACGGAAACCGCGATTCCAAAAATCGGAAGAACGTTTGTTCGCATAGGACCCTTAGTGCTCGGACGACGAAGACAGAGGCCCGGTTCCAAGTGATCGGACCCGTGGCGGTGTCACGTGGCTGCGCCATCTCCTTCCATTGTTCCATTGTCGACGGAATCAAAGAATCAATTTCTTGGTTAAACCCAATGCTCACAGTCCAAGCGAGAACGAGCCATGACGGAACAAAATTGCCGTAGGCAACGTCGGGGATGGAGAGAGGCAGAACGCGAGTCAGGTTTGGCCAGTAAGCCACCATCATACCGTTGCATGGCGCGTTTGACCAAAACTCTATCCGTCGAGAGTTGACGGTATTTGTTCATCACCGCTTGGACACACACTCCGCGCACGCGCACGGCATTAGGATGCCACGTGCGGCAGCTATCCATGAGTGCGTGCGCAGGAATCCCCTAGATTTCCATACATGAGGAACAAGATCCGATTGATCCCGCCCCCCAAAGCCCGATGCTAAAGTTTCCCAATCAATGCCCATCTTTCCCTATTGCCCCGTGTTGTTTCACAGAATTCCCCATCAACCCCTCCCGCCTCATCGTACGGAATAGAGCGCGCCATTTTATCCTCTACAAGGACATACGAGTAGGTGTCAGCGGAAGCATCGACCAATTTCATCGTCGTCGTCAAGGGACCTCGAAACATCGATTCATCGCGGGCCTCCGCTTCGCCCTGTTCTCCCCTCACGCACCTCCGCTTCCGCTCGACACATCTAGGATCGGCTTCTCCGGACTGGGAATTGACGACTATTGTCTTGATGGGGCCTCAATAGCAATTCGCGACAGCACGCAGGAGCTGGAGCTATGGAGTTGGAACACGTCGAGGCGGTGATGCGCCGCCTAAGCATCAATCATGAGGCGGAGCCTCTCGCCGGGAAGGTCGTCAGCATCATCGTCGCCATGATATCGGCATGTCTTCTCGCTAGTCTTTTTGGTCAGTGCTTTGATAAAAGACTTGATGCCGAATCTGATCTGCTAACCTCGTGATAGTAATGAGATGGACATCTGTGAAGGACTGGAAGGCATTACCGTGGACGATGTGGCGTAAGGAGCCCTCGCGATTATATGCCTTTGTCCTTAAGACTTACTGACCTCCACAGTCGTGGTACTCATCTACTTCTTCTCCTTTCTGTTTGTATTCGGCACATCAATCCTACAATTTGGATTTGGAGCCGATCTGAACTTCGACACTTGTTCGGCAGCGACTCTCTTCTGTTTGGGGGCATATGTGTCTACAAAGGTGAGCTAGACTTCTGCCGACTCTCAACGATAACTTTGACTAACTGAGAAACCAGTTGGTAAGTGCGTGACATCCGACTGCACTACAGTGGATTCTAATATGGTCAAAAGTTCATCTACCTCTTCATGGTTGATAGGGCAGTAAGTCAACCGGCGCGATGCTCTTGGCTACTATGACTCACATCAATGTGTAGCACATCATCAGACAAACGAGGAAAAGGCGATTAAAGTCGAAACTGTATCTGTTTAACTCATTCGGCATGTTAGGTACGTCTCCGAGCTCCAGCCGTGCGTAGTCTTTACAAACTGACCTCTGTGCTAGGCGTGTTTGTCCTGGTTGTTATCATGAACTTTATTTTGTACGTCTGCTTAACTCTAGAAGTTTCTATTCACTAACAGTATCTCCAGCCGAATTACTCATTTCGAGAATGGCATCTGTATCATTGGGATGGAGCAGCCTGTGTTGCTGCCGCTTATCTCTTTCGACGCAGCTGTGAACGTGAGTATAAGTTCGACTCGTAAAAACCACCTCTATCTAATGTAAACCAGGTTTATCTCACTATTTTATTCTTACTTCCTTTACTGAGTAAGCCACTAAAGACACCCTCATGCTGTACGGTTGCTGATGCTTTCCAGGTCTACACTCCGTAAAGTACAACTTCTGGAAGCCATGGACATTGGACTGGCGTAATCGTCGTATTCCCAGAGCTCCACCCAATGTTCGGCTACGAAAACTCGTGATACGCACTTTCATCGGTTCTTGCTGTACCCTTGTTAGCAGTGTGACGTACGTTCCTCATTGATGATTTGACGAGGGCTACCACTAATCAGTATTCAGAAACCTGAGTGTTCTCATGGCTTTGAATGGGGAGGTGGCATGGCTGTGTTTGCTATGCTGCAACACTGATAGTGAGTATTTCCGCAGCGCCTCACGTAGACAACTCTGACAAAGACTGCCTAGTCTTCTTCTCGGCCCTGGTGATCAACTGGATTACGTCACCTGGCCAGGAGTCAACATTACGAACCTTGACACGACCATCACGCGGTATATCCACACTAAGGGATGATGCCGTTACTATTCCACTTGATCCCGACGGAAACAGTACGAGCACGAGAAAGAGTTGGGAGCAGAGGCGGTCAAAAACACCGACAACAATCGGTCTCGAAACAGCAGAAGCACTTGATGACGGTGACACAGAGCTGGGCGAGCGTCGTGTGCGAGGCGACGACGATGCCGATGCAGATCAGGCTTTTGAAAGAGAAGTGAGGCACTCAGACGACGAAGACAATATTGAAATAAGCGCTGCCGAATTACGAGAAGCCCAGAAATGAGCGGCGAGATGGGTGTTAAGGTCATGACGAAATTTACGAAAAGTTCATGTTCTGTCTTTGAATTCAAATACAGGTAACTGCTATGGGATAGAGAGGAGTTCGATACAAGTACGGAGGTGAAATGGGAATCGGTGCCATCGCAATACGATATTACGGACATACTTCAGGCGCGACTCTGGCACGTCGCCCTAATATACGGACCAATTTCTAATGCCGATCTCATCAACCGAAATGCTTTACAATATTGGACAGCTTAAAATAATCTGATGAACATATCTGATAATGCCAGATTTTTGGAAGGCGACTCTCATATACAATACCCCATGGATCCCTGTCAGTGGCAACAAGATACTAGTTGGCAGCATTTGGCAAGCCGTCTACCGCAAACATCAAAATGACGGTGCTCAGCAGTTGTAGCATACGTGCAGAAATGGAGATTTTGGTAAGCAGGCTCTGTGCGAGCAACATTGACACAAATGAACATCAACGCCCAAAGATAAGAATAGTTTATCTCAAGTACATAGCCAGGTGTGTGGGGACAGGGTCCGAAGATGTAGGTTAACATCATGATGACGAACGGTGTGTTCCAACCGGAGCCAAGACGGGAATGAAGATTTCGATAACTCTATTTCCATGTGCTACGCTTCTTCAATCAGACGAATCGTGGGTCAGACGCCAATGACTTGTTGACATTTCCATTGGTCCCACACCTTTGAATTTGTCCTTCCAAGTTGAACTTCCACATATGTCAATGGTGCGATATCTACTTCCCATCAGCCCGCTCACCGACTCGGGAAAATTTCATGAGTAGTCACTCCCAGAATTCAGCTTGTTTTGTCCCCTTACGGGCACTCGTTTCTCCGGATCTCGCATGCACCCAGTCGTCCTTGGCAAGTGCCGAATTTGCACGCTTTCTGGGCCTCTGCAATAAGTCAGCACGCTGCATGTCAAAATCAGTTTCGGTAACGTAGTTATGACGAACCAGCGAAAGCGAGGATTGACACGAGTGCGAGCAGGGTCTTGGTGAGTTGCATTTTAGACGGCCGATAGGTGGAAATACTACCCTTAAGGTTTGAAAGGATATTACGTCAGGCTTCTCGGGCTTTGCTGTGGTTCGATATGCCAGGATCATTGAAAGACTAATTGGGATAGAAATCTTGAACTCAAGTAGAAACTGTCAGCAAAGGACAAGTTGCAGATTTCGTGGTTTTATATCCGAAGAGCATCCCAAGGTACATATTCGTCGCTGCATTTCTATAGGGAGCATTAATCAGTCTAGTTCACTGGTCTCTAATAGTTTTCTATGTGGGCTCTTGGGGAAACTGCGATCAAACTCATATCAGTGCAGGTGAGAGCTGCTTCGAAGCGTGAGGCGCTGACAATCAAACACCGAATGATGAGTCCATGTGAGCTCCGACGTATCTCCATGTGGCCTTGGGTAATCCGCGTGGCTGCCAAGACAATATCTGGGGTACCCCAAGTTTTCGCATTGCGTTCAGGGCGATAGGCTGAACTTCTCAGACGACATGTTACGAATAAGTCAGGGTTTGCCAGTTGGCTACTAAGGTGGAGGGATCGAACATGTATGCAAGGCAAGGCAAGAAAATGGTTCTCAGATACAAAGATGAAATTAACAATAATGGATTGACTTGACTGCAACCACGCAAGGTCATGTAAAGAGTAAATTGCGACATTTTGAGGCCTTTCTCCATGTTGTCTTTGCCCTTTGGTCGTCGTACTGGGCTCCTGAGAATATGTCTTTGTTGTCTCCCCATGGATCACATTGCCCCGAGTCAGCAACAGGGGTTGTCACGTGAACACTTCCTCAGAACTCTTGAGGCACGTAGACTAGACAGCTTAATGGCAGCGGCTATGTTTCCTTCGACTTGGTATCAAGTAAATGGGACCATCATTGCCACGGAGCGTTCGACACGCGTACTTGGTGCGAACGATGCTGACAGTAGCAAAAGGGACCGAAATGTATTAGGGAGAAAACCAGAAGACAGGACATATCCTATGCATGGTCATTACATTTCAGGCTAATGCTCTTTGCGGCGGCTTCTGTTGAGATGGTTTTCGAACTCACTGGGAGCCAAAATGCGTGAGGTTTCAGGAGAATACCCGCGGAAGATCCCTACTCACTAAAGCATAGGATGCCCAGATGAACGCTTTTCAAAATCTCATGAGAAAGATCAAATAAATCTCAGGGAAAAGGCACAACAATTGCAATATTTACGCCTTTCAAGTTTCGAGAGGTGCGGTTGACTCAATAAACGTGGCGGTCAAGCGACCTCTGCTGAACTTTGTTGTTTATTGGATTGATAAGGAAGAAGTACACCGATAGCCGGGATTCCGAAGATCCATGTCGCCCCAGAAAGACATGGTAGTAGCTGATGGTCATCCCTTTGGATCCATCGGACAAAGCATGGACTATGGAACCACTACAGTCGCAATTCCCTCACCCAACTCCTCCTTTACATTCCTTACTTCCACGAATTCTGTGTGGAGAGATGTGCCACCGTCGGGCTTATCACGTCGGAAAAACCCAACCACTCTTCCACGCACAATGTGCCCGTTCATATTTCTTTCTTCAGTCTTGGGCTCCGTCCAGATATCCGCCACCCTCTTTTCGTTTGGCGGCAGAGGCGCGGAGGGTGAGACGGGGACCGTTGGCCGCCCAGCAGGGTCCAGCGAAATGCCGTGTTCGAGCTCAATGACCCTCCGTGCTACGGCAACTAGCGTCGCCATCTCCCACAGATTCTCTCGCGGGAGTCCGAGGATAGGCATCAGCCTGAGTAACTCCAGCCGCGTCTCCAGGTGACGACATGTGGTCGTAAAGAAGAACAACATTGGCGTGTACCCCGTTTCGAACATGAATTTCGACGATTTGGCGTGGACGCCTTCCATCTTCGAGTGTTCTGATATTTGAACGACCATTTCGGCGAGATTTTTCGCTAGTCGGCTGTAGTTTAACACATATTTGTCGTAACCAGTCAAATTGTTAGTGAACGCCATATTTAGCCAAATACGGCAGCACTCGTATCGAGTGGAGAGGAAACCGCGCAGCATATTCGGTACATAGTCTGGTTTTGCCTCCGAAGCCTTATTTGTCGGCGAGGACGTGTATTTGCTTTGGTTGCTCAGCTGGGTGAAGAGAATGCTCCACCGATCGAGCATACTATTGACGTATTCTTGCCGCGCTAGTAATTTCTGAGGAACGCCATTTCCTGTTGGCGACAGGGAACGAAAAGGATATCCTTGCTTCATGAGCTGGAGGGTTTGGCAGTAGAGATCGTCAATCATCAACTGGGCGTCTTGAAACGAGGAAAAGCTTGGGGGCACAGGATGTTCCAGTCCGCTCAGGTCCGGAAAGTCGGCCTTCTCGCCGCTGAAGAAGAACGAGTACTCTGTGAGTCGTCGGAAAAGTGGGAGAAGATGCTCCTTTGTCCAGGGAAATTCGCTGTGGGTATTTCTAAGGAGCGCGACCCCATGCTTGCAGTGTTTAATAGCGGCTTCGCGCCCAGACTGCAGAAATTCGATGCAGATGAACAGGAGACAGACAAGCAGGACCGTGGGGTGCTTGTCCTGCGTCTTCATACCAATCAGCTCTCTCATAGCCGCATTGTAGTGGCGCACGGCAAAGCTGTAGTCCCGCGGGGCAACGATCTCGTCGGTTCCGGTGTGGAACTGCTCGTAGAGGTCGCTGATGGCTAGGATGGAGTGCGTTACCGCCGGCTCAAATGTGCTGAACTGCATGACTATGTGCGTCCAGAAGTAAGGATCCACGGCCCCTGAGAGGAGAGGCCCCACGGCTTCAGCAAAGTATTGCAGAGCGCGGTTGTCGCTTGGGGAACTGACTCCCGGAGAGGCACGACTTGGCTGAACCGTCAGGACCACTGACGGACCCGAACCCGGGGAGCTGGATGAGACATCTGTCAAGTCGGCGACGTGTGGGTAGCCATCGCATTTGCGGCCAGTCGCGGTACAGCGCTTGCAGGATGGTCTGCTCTCATCGCACTTGATTTTACGTACTCTAGCGAGCATTAGACAACGCGCCAACTCATATTGAAAACTTTACTCTCGGGATCGTCTCCCACGATCCAATCAGACGGCAATAGATGGAACTTACTTGCAGGTTAAACATCCCGTCCGAACCTTTCGGCTACCTTTCCGAGCCATAGTTCCGCTGAAAAGACAAGACAACCGGTACGAATATCCGTAAAGGCTCGAGCCAGCCTTGTTGTCAGTCTGTTGGTCTCGAGTCCGAACCAGCCACTGACGTGGTACGCGTGCCGGTCAGGGGCAAATGACCGTTGGACGCCCTCGGTGAGCGGGCAGCCTGATGAGAAAGAACTTTGGGAGTCCGAGGGCGAGGTGCAGGAATGCGAGCGGAGACAGCCCGAGATAATATCTGTGCCCACCAACCTCGGAAGGGAAATTGTGGAATATGCCAGGGTGAAACCGAACCCACCAATGTGAGCGTGAGATTCCCAAAGAATCCCTGCCGTCAGCATTGGGTAGGATTGAATGCTCCGCTTCGGACGCGGTGTAGCTATTTGTCTAACCCATTTTGGGCCTAAACGTCTTCACAAACAGGCTGCAAACGTTTAGGCGACGATTCGAAGGAAAATTGTCTTGGTGTGACGGCTGATCGTTGAAGCATTGATAACGGGTGTACCCGCAGCTTGCTATAGCTTATCCGGAAGGTTATGTTGCTAGATGATTGGATCATATGATGAGAATACACAGATTTGTTCCTGACTTATTGAGTGGATACAAGCGCAGGGGTTTGGATCTTTGTTTCGTTGGAACTTGGAGGGGCACAACTTCCTTTTGTCAATAATTGAGGGGAAATGAACTGTTGTGCAACAGTCGTTGCGAAATTGAGAAGTGGCAATGCGATCCAATTGAATGAAGGCTGTGAAATCTATTTAAGAATTTCTACAGCTCCATGTCAGCTACGTGACCTATGGAGATATCCCACATAGTTGGCCTCCCATGCGTCGCTTCTCTCCATGCACCCGTAGATCTGACTCGAGCTGCGTACGCCACCAGGATCCCGGGTACCAGATCTTGCCTCCCACAATCTGGAAGACTGGTAATTAGTGGGACCAAGTGAGCATCTAGAATAGTCGGACCAACAGGTTTGCCGAAAAGCCACTCGTCTCCCTCATGGTAAGTGTCGATAGTCTCACCAAAGACTTCGTTTGCTTGAGACTCTGCTAAAGCTACTTGATCGTCTTCTAACGTACTTTCCATATATTTCTTGTGGCTGCACTATTAGTCAGCCTTCTAATCATACATCTAAGGACTCCAGATTGATTACGCGAACTTACAACTCGGCTTTGAACTGCAATGCATTCCGGTAGTCTTCAGGGATTTCACCGACTGAGCTTATTTGCTCAGCGGCAAGGTTGGGAACTCCGTATTCGCGTGCTTTCTCATCAGTTACGGAGAGTGAAAGGGCTTGGATGCTGTGTATTTTGGCCAAACGTGATCTGATCTTTGCTTTGTGTTCTCGGGGTAAAAGACGAGGATACCGTTGGCATAGCCAAGATGAGATTTCCAAAGAACTCTTCAACGGTTCTCCGAGACTTTCCCCTATCAGAGTTGGAACCTTGACCGAGTTACTGTCAGAATATCTGCTTCTACTGGTGGTGAAGTAAAATGACCAATACTAATCAGGCTGAGAAAGTGGTCGTGTTCTTTACTTGGCCCTTCGGATTGACTACCAGGAGGTAGTATGCAGAGAGGTTCTCATTGCGATGCAGATTAACCAACTTGAGTCGCATTCCCAACTTTTCATTCCCCAGACCACTGTACCCAAATGCATACGTGAGTCTAGTCATGATGGAGTACAAAGAAAAGGGGAACATATAGAGAGTAAAAGCTGATCGATTAACAGCCTCAGCCGCAATTTCCTCATTATTCGACATCATGACGCTCAGATGCGATTGGAGCAGAAATCCAGCCTCCCTTTGATGGATGGAGGGTCAACGAGCCGTATTTAGGTACTTGAGCATGCAATCTTCGGCATTTCTAAATCGGGCAGCAGGCAACTGTCTGACACGCATACTCTAAGCGGGGTAGCGATATCTCGACACCCATTGATTGGTGATCACTGATGGTCGATGAGATGCATCTTCTCATTGGATCTGGGCTCGCCAACCAGATTGCCGTTTGTGATGCGCTTTCTAGTAGACAACCAAAAAATGACAGGTAGATATTCTGAAGGTTTCCATATATCTTCGTACTCGGCTTTCTGGAATAAGAGAGCTTTTGTCATAGCTTTAATTCAAGCGCTGCTCTATTTTCAAATTTGCGCACCCGACACTGCAAGGTACCTTAACACCAACGGCAAAGTCTTCTAGTAGAATCCGAAATTGCCCCAAAAACATGGAAGAGGCAGTCTGTCATGGCTTTCATGATTGATTCGCAGGAGACACCTTCATCTCCTATTTCCTGAATCCTGATACTTGAATTACTTTTTGTAATGAACTACAACCTGAAGCCACGCCGTTGCATCGAGATGCTAATAGTGTAGATAGAATTCAAAAAGGTCGAAAAAGGTGTCGAGGAGTTTTTATTGGGGCCAATCTCCAAGAAACTTCGTTGGACATTGGAACTAAGACACGTATCAAAAGGGAATAGGGACGGGTCTACGCTGGTAACGGTTGTTGAGAACTAAACCGCTTTAGTACCCTCGCCCAGCGGGTTTGATTTTCACGCATTTGGAAATTTCAAAATTGTCGCGGTAGTGACGTCGACCATTTGAGAACGCCCATCATAAAACCAGAGAAGGCGCAAAGTCACAGCAAAACTGTGCTCGACTTCAACGTCAAGACCAACTTTGCAGTCCAATCGCAGCTGACCCCGACGGAAAGGCGGCATCAATTTGCAATCTACGATGACAGCATCAACGGCGAGTGAGATCAAGGCAGTCGGCTCGAGGCCTGACTCTGCATGGGCTTATGACAGCAATTTAATGACACCCCTCGCATACGATCTCGTCAACACGCCAGAGGGCATCTCCGCCTTGGTCGACTATCTCAGCGGACTACCCAATAACGCGATCCCATTGCATTTTGTTGATCTCGAGGGCGATAACCTTAGTAGACATGGCATCATATCCATCCTCCAGCTATATGTGGCTCCGAAGCAACACACATATCTGCTGGATATCCACGCTCTCGGTGAAAAAGCATTCTCGACCATGGGGAAGAGAACAGGCAAAACAATTAAGGAATTTTTAGAGGACCCCAACTTCAAGAAGGTCTTCTTCGATGTTAGAAACGACTCGGATGCTCTGTTTCACCACTTCAAAATCAATCTGGACGGGATCCAAGATCTCCAGCTCATGGAGTTTGCCTCACGTTATAACAAGGCTGGATTTCTCAGCGGATTGGCAAAATGCATAGAGAGAAATGCCCCGTTGACGCCCGAGGAAATCTTAGCTTGGAGAGCTGTCAAAATGATAGGACACAGCCTATTCAACCCACAGTCGGGCGGGAGTTATGCTGTATTCAACCAGCGACCCTTGTCTCCGGAAATCCTTCGATACTGCATCCAGGATGTCCAATACCTCCCTCGTCTCTGGAATGTGTACGATCAAAGGCTAGGAGAGGATTGGAAGCACGCCGTGGAGAAGGAAACGAAGAATAGAATCCAGCAATCTAAGGCATCTGATTACAATGGCCAAGGCAGGCATATGACGGAGCCACCTGCTGATTGGGTTGTGAGAAATCCAGGAACCGCTGCCAACAGTCACCCTGGGCCGCCTGCAATTACTCGATAGTGATACAGGTAGTACCAGTTTGAAATAGATAGATGATGGAAATTATAAGAGGCAACAGAGCTTTTGATTGGCAGCTGCCGTGAAACTGTCCTAATGATTTTCTATTGCATTCATTTTTGAGTCATAATTGAGGCACCGTGGGTTCAATCTCTGTGCTAGGCGTGTCGTTATTGCAAATATCTAATCATCAGCAGATTAAGGTATTACATAGGACTAGTGAATCCTGATACCGAAATTGCGGGAGTACTGTTCTATTCAGCAACGCCAAATCTACTAAGAGCCCGCAGCTTTGCTCCATATTTCCAGAGCAACAGAGGCGCTGGCACACCAATCACCACTGCAATGATGGCTAGCAAACTCCCACCTAGGCCATAGCCAAGATTTCTAAACAACGCCGGGACGAAAAGTGGAAATGCGAATGCAAACATGGATCTCATGAAGCAACAAGCCGCCGAGGCCGAGGCAGTGTGAAGAGAGTAGCAGTCGGCGATATAAGCAGAGATGCATTGGTATGAGACCATGCTACTACCAATAGTTATGGCTATACCCACCTGCAGATGCCCAACATTAGTACCACATACCGGATAGTGTAGGTTATCAGGGAAAGTTTCTTACGTTGGGAAGCATGAAGTGCATCTTGCTTTGCGCAGTCCAGGCGAAGAGAATAATCCCACAGGGCGTAAGAAGGGAGGCGGGGACCATTAGTGGAATGCGGAACTCCGGGAATCCCTTCTCATGTTTTTCAATCCCTCGACGCCGTTTGAGTCTCAGATAAATCATATCCATTGTCGGGGCAGAGATCAGAACACCGACCAACGCGCCGATGGCAATAGAGATGTAGTTCAGACTTGCCTGTCCCTTGTGCATACCGTAGTAATGCTCCCATAACCTCGGAAAGCTAGAGATGATAAGATAGAGTAGTCCAAAGTTGAACGCCTGATAAAGCGCGAGACTTTGTATG